GACGTTCGTTTGCAATCATTATGTTCATCGATGAAACCAGTTTTTCCGTCTCCTTACAAATGTTGGGTGTACTTTCTAAAGACAATGTGTACCAAAATAAGTCTAATTCCAGTAATTCATCATCCCAGTAACATAGTTCTGGCGACCTTTACTAACCCCTTAGCGATATCAGTCCGCATATGTGTCTCTCTATTTCATATCGGATTGCCTTGACAGTAAGAGGTCCCGGCGTGAATCGGATCGCAAGGAATTAAATGACCCCTATTCCCCAGCTCAAAAACACTACACAGCCGTCTCTTGATAAACCACTTACGTATGTATACTGCTATAGTTCTTATCTGTGTCACATGTAATTCTGGATTTATATAAGCTGTCATGATCTACTTTTCGGTTTCACCCTTCTGCGCAGCACCCTTCTCCAAAATACTAACGCCTAAAGCTACGCGCGGGGCCGTACCATTCAATTTTCGGTCAACAAACAACATAACACAGCGCGCATCGCCTGACACGCACACTTCACTCACCCACCTCGGCACACTACGCACACATCTTTCCCCGCGCAATAACAGCCTCGAGATAATTGATAAAACTGAAACAGCAAGACTAGTTGACATAATGCTTGTTCCCCGGAAGAGTACAAATAAACTTTTCATGACATATTTCTACAGACCATATACAATTGCTCCCATCCAGAAGATCCACAGAGAAGGAGAATATAAAAAGAATCGTCAGACGAACGTTCTCTGGCCTAAAAAAATTGACGCTTGATATTTTTTTCAATTTGTAATAGCCCTGCGCAATCCTTTGCAATTTTTTAAAAATAAAGTTTTGATTGTCCCTATACTTCGTATATCTTAGAGAATTATCATCGAAGGGTTCATTTCAACATTCTTAGTTCTGAGTAAGACAGGCAATTAATTAATAAAGCATTGATTTCTTATATCAAAGTAGCCAAGTATAGAATATCAGTAAAATTTATGCAAAGTATTCCTTTTAATGGGTCTTCATTTCAAGTTTAAAACAATCCAACATGAATAAAGCTCACTTTACAGTCTACACGCATATCTATAGTTAATATTACTCACTTCATAATTACCCTTTATCCTTCATATTATGCTTACATATTGTTCAGCTAATCAATTTATAAATGGTATATTTTTGTCCCTTTCTGAACACGAACATTCTCCTTATTCTTCATATATACTCGCGTCGAGGGCTATATCGGAAACCGTCAATTTATTCCCCTTTCTAGCGTAAAGCCACTCCAATTGTCCAATTACGGACTCCACCCAAATATTCTCGTGCACTGCGCAATGCGCTACCTTTGGGCGCGTCCCTTTCGTTGTCAAAAATGAGAAAAGGTAGAACAAAATACGTGTCATGTGCTCATGCGTGTCTATCTGAGCATTATGGAAAGAGGGTAAGCCATTTGAGGGGTAAAAAATGCATGTCGCTGGTTTGGATAATGACATGATAATTATGTTGGTCAAGAAGTGATGGTGAGAGAGAATGAAGTATGAAGTGGTCTGGGTATATTTGGTGCCGAGAGGAGACCTTCTATTGATAATGGATAAATAAGGAATGACCTTATATTCTTCTTTTAAGGAAAATGCCTAAAGTTGAATACTTATTGATAATATTCTCGTTAAAATTATTGATTTTTTTAGCATTAAAAAAAAAAAAAATCACAAACATTAAATGTAAAATATAAAGAAATCGTCGTCATAAACCGATTGAACATGTACCATTCTCCAGGTAAATGATAATAGCTAGAATGAAGTAAAATAGTGGACAACAATGAAATTGCTTATATAAGTGATATAATAGTTCGTCTATATTAATTTAGAAACGCGTGGAACAAAGTTGAAGCATGAAATTATAAAAGGCCCCATTATGTATTTCTCATCAGTCAAACTGTCAGTTATAAAAATACAAATAAAAAATGGACTTTTTGAAAAGATTTTTGTTGAAGCATCAGGTAACTTCTTCGAGTTTGCTTCACAAGTGTCTATATCTGAGGCGGAAATAAACTGACTGAGAAAGAAATATTATTGACTTGTGAATCACCAACTAATATAGACGCATCAAGATAGAGTAGGCCGCAGATGGGTGATTCAATAGTCTTCTAAATATTTATCTGCCCTCCAGAACAGATACACATTTGAATTCAATTTGTATTTCAGGGAATCGAAACTACATTTTCGTGTCATTTAATTGTCCGTCAGTTAGTCAGGGACCGTGTGAGTAATATACCAACATAAAGAGGCTGAAATGGCTGGATCGTGATGAAATACAAAGGAAATGTTTGCATTTCTTTGTGTTTGAAAGGCTAATCCTAGTTTGGTTGCAAAATGTGAAGTCATCACCATGCGGTTGAAATGGAAGAAATTCGATATCGGCGCGTAGTGCGGTAAAAGTGCAATCTAGATGTGGGTGGTTCGAAAATTGTTTTCAATAACCTTCGTAATTTGTCTATAGTTTAAGCTTTAATGAACTATAATATAGATATTGACGGGAGTGATTTCGGATCTGTTTTTAGCAGAGAAGAGAAGAAGCGAGAAGTAACAATTAGTGAGGGGGATGATTTAGCTCATCTGTGCATGAGAACGCAGGCTTTGGCGGCACGGCAAAAATACGCATCTTCCGAAGGGGATTTCCGCTGGATTTGAAAACGAGTTCGCGAGAAAAGATGAAATTGGAAGGTACAGTTTCGAGGAGCATTTATCACCGTTCCAATTTGTAGTCGTAATGATCATTGATTTGGGGGTAATTATGCGGTTGCCGAATGGATTAGGTCAGTCAGGGTGACTGCCCAGTTAACCATTTTCTATCAAAATTCCGTCAGGTATTTGTTCTATAATGAGTCATAGGTTCCAAGACCTTTTAACACTCTCTACGATGGCCGACTTGGTGTATTCTTAAGTTTAAACATCTTAATTCTCCTCTTTCTCCCCGACTCTTACTCATTACGCATGCTTTATGAATTAAACAAGTTCATCATATCTTTCATGTTTTCCTTCAAATACCTAGTCATAGTCCAAATTCAGCAACAATTCGCTCGAAACGAGTCCGATCTTTAGCCACCCCGGTAAAATCTTTTGGATTACTTCACTCAATTTTAATAGTGACAGCCCCCTCTTTCCTAAATATTCAGTCACGTAAATAATACAGACTACGATAATGATAACTTGTAATGAGTGTAACATTCAAGGACCTCTTATTATAATCATACATCACATCTTACACTAATGACATGAATAATCTTTCTTTACCACTGGTTATTATCGGTATTCAAACTTGCACACACGTGGAGAAAACCTACCCCCTATGTCTGATGAGTATTCTAGCCATAATTTGCATCATTCAAACGTATGTAGTTTAAAAAAATACAATTATGCGCTGCTTTTAATCTCTGTGATAATGAAAGGGTATTTTATCATAAAATATAATTAAAAAACGAATGTTAGATTCGTTTGTAAACGTATTTTCTTTCATTGATGACGTCATCCGATCAAAGTTCGATTCCTGAGTTTTTTGACGGAAGACAAAAAATATAATCCTTAACATTACTGTCCTTGTAATTGATCTACGTCGTTTAAACCCGACACACGCAGTTGCTAAAACAAAGATCATAACACTTTGAACATTTACTCCCCCGCAGGATTAATATCACGACGTCATCATTATTTATTATCCTTAAAGTTCATAAATACGTCATAGATAATCAATTTCATGCATGTATTTAGACATGTTCTAAGAAATAATATTTAAATGATAATTCTGTGGTAAGCATTTAGCATATATTGCAACCAAGGGCAGAAAGGTAACTTTTCAAAAAATATCCACAGCAGGAGAAGCGTCTTTAATCTGAAAAATGAACAGCCTGAAATTCCTCATGTATCACAACTAACGACCATTTCCAGCACTGATAGCTAATAAAAAAGTGTCTTCCTGGAGGGGGGGGGGGGGGGGGCGGGGGTGGAATAGTACTTGACTCTCCCCGAAAATAAATATAGAATCAAGTAACTCTCCTACTTAAAGAAGTGTATATGCTTATAATCAATGAACGCTCTATCTAAATAATTCTGGAAAAAAAGATTTTTTTTTGTCCCTACTGCATCCACATGTTTTAAATAATCGTATACATTTCGCTGTTTAAATGATTTCTTCCTTTCCCCTTCGCAAACGATAAAGCCATCTTTCTACGTATGAAATCATCTGCCTCGGAGGAAATGAGGCAACACGACTTAATCCTAGTGCCGTTTGATATTTTGTCATTTCTTCTTTTGCTTGCGCTACAATTGGCACAAAAAAACACAGAAAAAAAGTGGTGATGAAAAACGAGAAAGAGGATGAGTAGTTATGACTTCTGTCTAGTGCTTTGTAAACATAAGCTTCCGGTGATGGATTGATATTATATTAATCATATTGGGTGTTGCAGGTTTGTGGGAAGTGACTTGTGAGGGATGAGCAGAGGACAGATGTGTTGTTACAAATCAAGTCACAAGCTTGTCGAAAAGTTTTATGAACAATAAATGATGGTAACTTTTCTTTAGTGGGGGTGCAGGAGTGCCCTTGGAAAAAACTTCCAGTTTGGTTAACCTTAATTTTACCAAAGCAAAAAGATATGAGCGAATTTTGTATCGTGTGTTTCCCTGTGATTTAGCCAAATAGGCACATATCATAGGAACAGGATATTTGAGTACCTAATTATTATTTTGTTGGGCAGTTTGTATATTGGTATGGCTTTCTTATCTTTCCCGATGATCACGCTTATCCTTTATCAAAGTTTAAAACAAAGTTTGTCTGAAAAAAGTGCTTGCTTTAGCTAATTGGTCCAACCCCACTCCTTTAAAAACATACGTACCTACTTGATATATTATGGGAAAACATTTAAGTGAAAAATCTTGTTATTTCTTTTTTTTCTTCTTAATAATCTTTATTTTTATTTAATCTATTCAAATAGTTTTTTAAATATTTTTCTTCAGGTAATCACTTACTCTAACTCTGGGTTCCGTTAAACTCGTCCAGGCGGCGATCTCTTCCCTCGTCGACATATCGGGGTATCGATTCCTTGCAAAATTTGCTTCCAGCTCTTGTAGTTGTTGACTTGTGAAATGTGTTCTCTGTCGTCGTTGGCGGCGCTTCTTGCCGTTGTCCTGGTCGCCACCGTCGTCGGCGTCGGGATCGTTGCACGATTTTTCACAATTTCCATCTGAAAAAGCAAAGAAAATACAAGAGATTATATAATTTCATTTGTCATTAAATTGGTTAATACAAAACGACTTATAAATGCAGTCCATATCTAGACGTTTCAATGCTTCCTTAAATATCGATATCTTTAATTGGTGATTTTTTTTTTCGTCATGATTTTTCTTAGCTTGCAGACCTTTTTTGTTTGTGTGTTTGTTTGCTTTTAATGGTTGACCTTTGACAAAACAGTCTTGGTAAAAAGTAAATCAACCTCGTTAAACACTTTAATTTCTTGTACGATCCATATTTCATATGTTATGGTCATGGCTTTATAAAATTTGTATTCCTAATGCATGTCTTTTCATTTCCTATTTGATTGCTTCATTCTAATTCATACAACTGCAGTTTTACACAACTATTGTCAGATACACACTGTACATTCTGTCCTTTAACCATACTCCATACCCGAAAAGGGTGTTTAGTAGCTCCCTGCATATATCCATTACACACTCTGCTCTAATATAGGCGGGTATACGAGGCGAATATCAAATTACAACACGCTACTCGTGTAACAAGCTACCCAAATGACAAAGCAATTCATTAATTAAAGCAGTGCGAAAGGTTAATAATCGAATCATTAAATTGTTAAAACCAGTAGCATATTTAGGGAGAGGTGGAGCATAACTGCCTCGTACCCCCATTTATAATCTAAATTCTAATCAGGTAAACCTCAAATAAACACACATACACACACACACACACACACAAAACCATTACGCACACACCCACTAAAAATGAATGTACCCCAGGGCTGAGTTTTTGAGCCCATACATTTTTACTACAAACATTTTCACATGTTATCTAGCCCCCTTTCTTATTTCAGCAAAGAAGGTGCACTTTTGGAAGGTAAACCGTCAGATGAATTTCCGCGGTTTCATTCATTCCAATATCCTCATAATTAAACACCCGTCTTTTGTTTCAAGTTTATGACAATAGGGATTTGTCATACCTACGATTTTTATTGTTTTTCTGTGTCATTTTACCGTTTAGAGCCTTTTGTTACTAATCCCGCGGTATTCGAAACAACTTCTTGCTGGATTAGAGAGTGATTGTTGGGGTTTATTTTGATGTATGTAATTCGAGAGTGAATATTGAATTAATCAAAGTCACGTGGTTGCACTCAAGATCTTTATGAATTTTTTGCTACCAGCAGCACAGGCTGAACGGGACAGTTATATGATAAAAGTAATTGAAAATGAGAATAAGAATTCAGCACGGTCTCTCAGAAAATACATAGAGATACAGGTTTTGTATTTCAAAATTTGGACAACTTCTGAAGTCCCAAACAAGTTTTGGACAAATTTTCAATTTCCTAAATCTCAAAGAAGCAATTTGCTCAATCCAATGTATGGTTTAAAATGCACGTAAGCATGATTCCGGCAACCTACGATGTCAAAATTCCTATGACAATAAGCTAATATTATATCAAACTGTTTTGTTGAACCGGCTTGCCAACGGAATATTTACTCGCATTGAATTAGAAAAGGTGCGAAAAAAGTAAGAGTAAAAACAAACAGAAACAATGAATTCTTGTGTTTTGAACACAAAGGAAATGTTCCATCAACTCATCAAAGTCACTTAACGCAACTGAATCTGTTGTTTTAAGTAATACCCGAAAGACTCATCAACAATACTTGTGGAAACCATTTAGTGATCAAACCCCATTGCCGCCAATTTTATAGTCACGCAGGTCGTCCGCTAAATCGGTTTTCCGATTCTTGGCGAGACACGTAGAGTTAGCTAACGTGGGTGTACATTGAGTGAACTACCTGAGCATTTCTTGGGAGACCAATTTGGCAATGGGAATGACGCTAAGTCAAGGGCGCCAAGGTCAGGACATTCCTTCAATGGCTGATTGAAAAAGGCGGGAAGAGAGCAGGAAAATTAGCAGGCAATGTCAACAAATTTAACCGGGCCCGTGGCACGATATGTTTGTAAGGATCTCAGAAGGAAAATAGATTTGCAAAGACTATGAAAACTAGATCCGACACGGTTTTTGTTGACGATTATAGGTCACTAGAGCAAAGCTGAGTCGTCTGACATCATTTAAAAAGCAGGAGTAAGGTGTTGTCGGCAAACAGCGCCCTCTCCCTGACGACCATTGGTGCTGGTCGATAAGAAAGATGGTGCATCATGAAAGACTTATATTACAATTATCAATGACATGATGAATATTCTTTGATTATGATATATTTGCTTGATAATTTTATCTAAATTATCAGACCATTGAATTATCATGTCTCTTCACCTACTTCACTCAGAACTCTCCATTTGTATGGAGTTGTTTCTACCATACAACCACAGCTTGGGAATTTAAAGACACTGATAGGTCACCGAAGAGTGGTAAAATATAACAGATTGACCACACTTGGCAGTGCTTTGTGATATAAATATGGCATTTCTTTTTGTCGCGCTCTAAAAATTCGAGAAACTGATAACTTAGAAATCCCACATTCATTATGCTTTTTATCATATGAGTGAACGTCAGAAATAAGAGGTTGATTATCATATCGCATCAGTCACAGAAAAAGAATGAACAGCACCCAGCAAGATTCTCTCATTGAAAAAATAGAATACCGAGACAGATTTAAACCTGCAGCTGCTTTCGATAACATGTTGAAGCTTCCGTTGATGGTTATTTTTGTTACATTGCACTCTTTATTTCTCGTTCTACGTTCGTTCTAGGAAGTAGGAGATACAGATAGAAGATCGTTTTACAGAACTGCAGTAGTAGAACAAACATCACCACGCGATCTTGAGTTTACATTCTGACTGGTTCGTTTCCATTTTAAGCGAATTCAACAGTGCACTTAAAGGGATTGGGTAACTTTGTCTCAGATTCTGAAACAAAATTCTGGACTTAGCTCATGCTACAATGATAATTATAAACCTTTAGGTCAAACAGGAACCCCGTGACTTTTACAAGCCGATCGCCTGTCTGATCATCAAGATATTTATGATTGGAAATCGAAATTCAAACATTTGTTTTCCTAACGGTTTTTATAACACTACAGTCTATTGGGGGAAACTGAGTATGGTAAAACCGGTCACTCAAAGATTTTTACTTTTTTGAGGCACTTTTTTAGGGCTTCAATATAACACCATATCACAGACACTGATAACATGTATGGCCATGCATCTCAAATTTAACATTGCTAAACGATGCCTTTAAGCGATACTGCATTGTCGTATTACTTTCGTATATTACATTCACACATGTATTAACAATGATGGTCGGCTCGAAATTTACCCATTAATTAATGATAATTAAGAAGAAATTGTAACTTGGATTATTATGCTTTAATAGGGATTTGCCATGTTTTCCCGATATCCAAATGTTCTTTTAGTTTAAAGGGATCCGGTAACTTTGTCTCAGATTCTGAAACAAAATTCTGGATTTAGCTTATGCCGGAATGATAATTATAAACCTTTAGGTCAGTCAGATACCCCATGACTTTTACAAGCCGATCGCCTGTCTGATTATCAAGATATTTATGATTGGAATTACAAATTTTGAAAACCGTTTGCTAAACGGTTTTCATAACACTTCAGTGTATTGGGGAAAACGAGTATGGTAAAACCGGTCACTCAAGGATTTTTAATTTTTCGAGGCACTTCTTGATCATTTTGAAGCGCATTTTTTTAGGGCTTTAATATTACACCATATCACAGACACTGGTAACACGTAGGGCCGTGTATTTCAGATTGAAAATTGTTAAACGATCCCTTTAAGAGAATATTTCTTTGTCAATTTTTGATGAATTATCTACGTCATTTTGTCGTGACGTGTATGGCCTATAACATACAATTCAGTAAATATCTAACTATGAAATTTGTTAGTATGTTAGTATGATTGTAAATGAAATATTGAAAAATAAATCAAATCACATTAAATAAAATCAAGAAGCTAGCAAAACCAAATCGAACCATAATGGATTGTCAAACATCGGAATGCCAGAGTCAGATCTCGTTCTTTTTTTCTTCTTTTCAGCCTTAATTCTTAGAAAATTAGGCTGAGATTAGGGGAATGATTGTCCAGGATCTTGAATTCTAAAGTGACAAAGATGTCTGAAAGTTCAAAACCGGGTCAAGTACATGAAGCTTGTTTTAACAATAAACTAGAAGGAAAATGAATTGACACGTATCAGGCAAGAAATGGGCCAAAATGATCAACATCCGTTGGAGACACACAAAAAAAAAACGATTCAATTTCATTTACAGCTTCCTTTACATATCCCAGAGTTAAAAAGATGGGAATAGATATTAAGAGGGGTGGGGAGGGGGGGGGGGGGGGGGGGAGGTGATATATGCATTCTAAATTTTGCTCAAAACATTTCCTGTCTCAAATTGAGTAATATTGTACGAAATAATACTCCAATCCCTAAAATTATAGGCTAATTTCTTGGTACGGCTTGTTTGTTTTTATAGGTCTTTGTGTGTCCCTCCTTACTCCTTCAAATACGCCCTCAAGAACAAGATACGGTGTGTTTCGTATCATAATTATTGTCAGGAAATGGTTGCGATGCACATTGTAAAGAGAATCTGGGTCGATATTGGGTAGTCAGGAAACCGTTCTGGTGTTTTATCTGTCTCACAGCGTCACGGGAAAGTGTCTTGACCACCTTACGATTGTGTCTTGGACCAATCAAGTGACCCAGTGACCCCATTACATGTATTGTCTGTAAAAACTGTCTATTTGGCCTCACAGAGGATTGAAATAATTGAGGAAAAAGTTTTGCTGAAGTTCATATTTCAAAAGCGGATACATTGTCTGTGAAAAGTGGTGTTTTGGAATTAAGAAGTGTGTATGAATAAGTTTACTTCAGGAAACACATCTGATCTACTGTTTCCTGGTTCGAAAGTGGAGTTTTGATATCATTTCTAAATTATTAATTATAAATACAAAAACTGCTCTTCAATTGGTATACTGACACTAAAATCCAAGCATTCCTGCTGTTTGGA